CCGCGGCCGCGGGCCCAGCGGGAGGGAAGGCGAGGGCGGGAAGTGGACGGGGAGGCTGGAGGCGGGAGCGGGGCCCCTCGGCCCTCAGGCAGCGAGGGCCTGCCACAGCCCGCAGGGGCCCGTCCCGCCCTGGGGCAGCCCTGTCCGTCGGCCGGCTCTGGGCTCGGGGTTTCTCCCGGGGACGCTGCCGTGCGGCTCTTGCTCCGGGCCCAGCCCAGCTCGGTGCTTCCTTGCTGCCTGGGAGGGAGGGCGATGCTGTTTGCGTCGGGCTTTGTTGCTCTGTCCCGGGGGGATGCTGAGAAAAAACAGAAAACACGCAAACAGAAAAGCCCTTCCCAGACTGTGGAGTGACCTCCTCGGTGTTCTTATAGGAGCCTTATTTCTGCTAGCCCTAAGCCCTGCAAAGTAATATCTGGAGCCTCATCTTATCCCAGACCTTCAATAATAAAAGTTTCTGCGTGTCGAAGGATGCTTTCGGTCAGGTCAGCCAGGAGTCAGTTTGCACGGACATGGGACAGTGTGGAAATTATGATGTGTGGGTCTGGAAGGGACTTGCAGGGAGAGATGAGGGATGTGCCGCCTGGATTATGGAAGGGAAAAATAATTAACTGGATAACGGAAGGGAAAAAAAATCTCCTTGCAAACTGAAAAAAATTGAGATAGGTCAGTGAGAAGTATGAAGGTCCCAGTGCAGTTTTGATAACTTGTTCTTTATAGATCCTTCGTGTTCTTCACGATCACAGAAGTTCAGAGGGAAGCCAGCTGTCATCAGAAAGGGAAATTCATTGCCGAAGGATTTCCAAAGCCAGAGACTCCACTGAAGTCCTGTGTTGTATAATACAGTTTACTGGGTTAGTGATGAAGAAATAATAAATCTCATTTCCTGTTACTTACGGAGATAAGTGAAGATGTAGAAATTCATCTGTGTAGAGAGCCTGACAAAGAAGCGATTGAGGACTTTCCCATACTCTTGCCGTTCTTCCTAACCAAGAACGCACTCTGAAGACTTGGTTTTGCGAAAAACACAAAAAAATCAGTGTGCTTGGTGATCCGCCCATCCGAGGTTCATAACAAAAAGCAGAAGCTTCCAGCTGTGCGAGAGAGCTCGGGCTTCGCAAAAATGTTGAGCATCACCTCAGCTTCCCCTGGCCCTGAATTCAGGAGCTGGCCCGCTGGAGGGGAATGCGGCGGACGGTCCTTGTCAGAGCCTGCGTAGACAACAGCAGAACGAGCGGGAGGAACCTCCTTTAGGTTGGATATTAGAAAAAATGTCTTCACCGAAAAGGCGGTCAGGCACTGGCACAGGCTGCCCAGGGCAGTGGTTGAGTCCCCATCCCTGGAGGTATTTAAAAGCCGGGCAGATGTGGTGCTCGAGGACATGGTTTAGCGGTGGCCTTGGCAGCGCTGGGTTAACGGTTGGACTCGATGATCTTAAGGGTCTTTTCCAACCTGAACGATTCTATGATTCTAACCTGGGCTTCAGGAAAGTCACAAGGTTAGCCCGGTGGTGGGTCACGCTGATAAGAGGAGACAGATAAATTCTTGGAAAAAAAAACCCACTGAGAGCTAGTCAACACAAAAATATTGCCTCTGACTCAGGAAATTCCTTAACTGCAAATTGTCCAACGGATAGATTATAAAAATAGGTTGTAGATTAGACCTAAAAGATAGATTATTTTAGGAAAATATCACTGTACGCTTATTTTATTCTTACGTTCTCTCCTAGGCATCTGCTTTTGCCTGCTGCTGCGGACAGGACGCTAGGGTAGATGGGCCCCCGGCCTGACCCAGCGTGGCCATTCCTCTCTTGCGTTGTTTTTGGCTGAGGACTGCAGCTAGGGCCTGTGACCTGTCGCTAGCGCTCCCAGCTCTTGCAGAGGTTGGAGATATTTACACTCGTAAGAGGAAAGGAAATGGGCGATTGCACTGCTGATGCACGGTATTTCCTAATGCCAGGGGCATCTTTGTGTGCCGTTGGGACTCCTGCAGCGGGATTCAGCTCAGAATCAGAAAACATCAGTACCGAGGTTTCTGCGGTCTGTGTTTTCATTACAGGAGGTGCAGATCTAGGGCACGATTCGGCTGCCCACACGAAGGCATCTCAAGTCATTTGAGAGGCCTCAGGATATCGCACGTGGCCTCTGCCTCCTGATGGACACCGGTCATTCGTAGGTCCGGTGTCGTACCTGCTAGCCCAGAACAGAGGTCTCGGACACTCTGGGATCTCTCAAATGGCACCTGATGCCCTTGTGTCCCAGGTTGTGTCCAGCCAGGCTCCTTTGGGACACAGCATCCTCCTTAAACACAACTCATTGGTGCCGTGCAGCTCCAGAGGAGGTGTTTGGTTTGTAGTTTCTACTGCAGAAGCAGTTCCCTGTTGTCTCATCGCGTGCTCCATTCCTGGCTGTGCTTAGGAAGCTAAAAATCAGTGCCTCCTGCGGCCTTGAGTAGCTCTACTTCTGGCCGCCCGGTACAGCGGGGCTGTGTTTAGCAGCTCCCCTGTTGCACTGTCCGGAGCACAGACACTTGCAGGGTGCAGCTTTTCCATCATAGCAGATCTGCCCCAGGGGTGATCTTTCTCAGCAGCTTATTTCGTTGTACAATCATCTTTAGGGATGTGAAGCTCTTTGCTTCGGTACATTTGTGCTAACTCTTTCCTGCGGAAACTCGAAGATTTTTGTTTCCTCCTGACCTGTTACAGAAGTGCTACTTTCCTGCTTGACAGTTCCTGGGTCCGTTTTCTCTCTCTTCTCATCATGCTAATCATTTTGCACTTTAGGTTTCATGTTTTTATTCTTCCTCTCCAATGCCTCTGCCTTTTGTTTGACCGTTAGAGGAATGTAAAGCCTGTACTGTGTTAGATGCGGGGTGGAGCGGGACACCTTAACCTGAGGGAGTTTCTTGCTACTTCTTTGTGTTGGTTTGCATCCTTTTTCTTTATGGGCCTTCAAAGTCATCTCTGACCCTGTTCACTCTCGTTAACTTGTATGGTCAGGCACTGTTTCCAGCTGGGGACTAATCCTTGCCAAATTACTGAACGCCTTTCATCCGGGTTCACTGGACCAACTGGCGCTTTCAGTGCGATAGGGCCCCCAGTTTGCACTCGTAATAAAACCATGAGGCTCTGGTGTTTTGTTTTGAAAGCTTTGCCCAGCTCCCAGGTTTGCCCAGGTTTATCCTGTAGGGTTAAACGGGGTCTGGGATTACGGCATGATGACATCAGAACTGTGCGCGCAGGCTTGACTAGATGAATCAGGAGAATGCTTGTGTTGGTGAGAGTTGTGTGTCAGCCATGAGTGGTGTTGGTGAGCTCTGGGCACCAACCTAGAAAAACGCAGGTCAGGCCAGCACAGATGCCACTTTTGCAGGTGGGAGAAGCAAGGAGAGAAGACATGGAGCAGACAGACTTAAAATGAACGTTTCTGTGTTGAGCACTAGTATTAGCATGCCTTTAAATAATTGCCTGTTCTTGCCTATTCAGCAATATTTTGGATTGTGAAGCAGCTGCCTAGGGGACCGAGGCACATGTGCCTGCGTGCTAGTCCTTCCCGTGGAACTTCTGAACCTGTTGGCCTGTTCGAAATGGCTTTAATCATGATTGGAAGGACACTGACGTACCTGACACGAAATGTACACGCCTCACGGCAACAGGCAGCTGGCAGAGAGGTGGGACGCGAGTTTGTGCTTTAGTGAGGAAAGACCTGAAATCTGAACCTTCTGCTTGGTAGAGAACGCGGCGGATTCTTCTCTCCGCTGCAGGACTGGGGAGGAAGGGGGAGGAGAGATTGGGAATGCCTCAGCCTCAGGAAAAGTTTTGATCAGATCTGACACTTTATTAGACTGGGGATAATCCAGTCACGAGATGCAAAACTATGCAATAGAAGCAGAGGAGGGGGCTTCAGGAGCTGGGCTTCCTGCAGGCCCGCTCGTTACCGACTGGGGCTGTGTAACCACTGCGTACCGGGCTCCCACCCGCGTCCTGCACCACCAGGAGATCCTTTACTCGCTGCTGCTGTTGTGCCAGTGATCTCTGTAGCTGTGCCAGCCAAACCCTCTGAGCGATCAGTACTTTCCTGATTGATACTTGTATTTTTCTTTTCTTTAAGTAAAGGAGAAGGCTCTAGGGAGTTTCATCTTTTTGTTAATTCCTGGTTTCAAATCTCCTTTTACTTTCAAGTTCTTCTGTCATTGCATATTGCAGAGTGGCAGAGGCTGCAGGGTTTCTTGTCACTTCTCCAAAGACTTTACATTTAGATTTATCATTCATTTTTAAACAAAATCTGTTTCTAATAGATCTGTGTCCATCACTGCTCTGTTTGGGAAGTTGGCAGCAGCGAACGTGACAGGCCTGCCTGCCCCTCGGTGATCCCAGTGGGGATGTGCACACCCACTCTGCCCCAGCTAAGGAGGATCTCCACTAGTTCTTGCACAACATAAAGCTCGTTTCAGGGGCTCGCTAGAATTTTACACGGTCTTCCTGTACGTGGTGAGTGTATGTACTCACCGTCACCTGCAGTTGTGTCTGACGAAGGCCGGTGGTGTGAATTGGCTAATGTGTGTCCTACATTTATTAGTAAAAGACAATATGAAGACTTCTAATTGAGAATCCGCCTCCCCCAGTTACTTCATGATTTTAAATACTCCAAAATGCATAACAATGAGAGCAGATGGTAGACAGAGATCTGTTACACACGTGATGCAAGCTGTTTAAAGTGTACTGGGATATACTAGAACTAAGGATAATAGGAGGAGATTGGTTTAAAACAAATAAAAGAAAGTACTTCTTTACACAGCAAGAGTGAGCTTCAGGAATTAATTGCTAGAGGAAGTGGAGGAGGCAGCATCAAGAGGCTCAAAAAGGTGAGAGAAATTCCAGGACATCAGGTCCATAAACAGGTACCAAAAACCAGACAAGGGTTTTCCCTCTGATATCCCTGATCCATGAAATAGCTATTCCTCTTCTAAAGAACTCCAGCAGTGTAAAACCACTGTCGCAGCAGCCTCCCTCATGGGTTGTGTGTGTCCTTTTGCAGAGGAGGACTGTAAGAAGTACCTGAAAAGAAAGCAGGAGCAGGCGGACCAGCCGCTTCAAGTGCCGGCAGTAGACAGCAGTGTGCCGAAGACGTCAGAACTGATGGGCATCACCACCAGGGACGATCCGTACGGTAAGTGCCCATGATTGCATCGCTGCGTGGTACCTCACATTGGAATTGCCTTCAGCTGTAGCAGATCCCCATAAGAAGTGCGGAAAACCTGTTTGCTTTCATTATTCCCCCTGACTTTTCCTAACCTAGGCCAGAATGCTTCAGCTGGTAGTCTGCAGGCATTTTCATTTTTCCTGTTCCCGAGGGCAGAGAGGAAGAGCAACCCTGGGGAACGCTGTACCCAGAACCAGGCTGGCAGAGAGCCCACTGGACATGCATGGGAGGAGACTTCCCAGAAACGTGTCCCTTAGCACGGCCTGGCACAGAGCAACAGCTGCCGAAAGCACAGCGGGCTGGAGTCAAGGGGGAAGGATGTCAGAGCTGAGTGCCTTGGCTACGCTGCCCTGTCTTCAGCAGATTTAACCACCTTGAATAAAAAGGAAGCAGGGTTTGAAGTACAGCTGGGTGTGAAGGGGGGGAGAGAGGAAGCGCAGTTCTCTGCGTGTGCTCGCTGGGCTGTGCGTGCAGCTCTGCGTATGCAGCCATATGCGTGTGCAACTGCGTGCCGGGCTGCGTGCGCAGTCTTCTGTGTTTCTAACTGCGCATGCAGCCGTACGTGTGCACGCTGGGCTGCGTGTGCAGCCGTGGGCTGAGGAAGCGGGCATCCTATAGAGTTCTGTGGCGGATGGAGCAGCAGCTGAGGCTGAGTGGAGATGTGTCAGCTCACCTCTTTGGATGCTCCTCTGGCTCGTCCGACTTTGGGTGTCCACCTTCGCTGTACGTGGGGACATCATTAACCTCGCCAAATGTCCGTAGACGAATGTGCTGGTGTTTGTGCATGGCAGCTTCGCCTGATGTGACCCCCAAGTTAGCGCTGTGCCCCTAAAGCAGTACCCTCAGTTTGATTGACCTGGCAGACAGTTACCCTTCTGCTTGACTGGATGCTTCTTGGGCTGGATCTGCCTGCCGGGTTGATGCTTTTCTCAGCAGCTTTTACAGCCTGACCTATTTTTTCACTGTGGTAGGCTTTAACTGGCATAAAAACTTGAAAATATATGTAGTGACATTGATACGGAAAAAAAATAACACAGTGGGAAACTATCCAGCAGTATTAAGGCACTTAATTATGAGAAACATTGCCCTTAAAGTATAGCACTTTAATATTTGGATTAGTGCTAAATAAACAGGAGCTGCCAGCCATTAACAGCTTTGGAAAACAGGGCCATTTACTTAGGATATGACTTAAGGTACCCAAGTTTGACATCTTAGCCATAAAAATCACAGTTTCCAAATTTCAAGGCCTACCTCATAGCTCAATGGACAGCAGATGTCAGGATAGTGCTGGATGAAGGGCCTGTGGGAAGGTGTTGGTTGAGAAGTTTGAATCTCTGTGACCTGAACTACAGAACTAGGACCCAGAGCCACAAGGATATTTTAGATGCATAACTCCCAGTGAATTCCCAGAGCATCGGGGCTCTGAGCTGCATCCTCTGGGCTACGCTGCTGCCTCCGATTATTCCCGGACCCTGTCTCCCCCGCCTTCCCTGTGGCTGGATGTTACTGCCTCTGCAGATTTTGCATGTCTGAATCTCAGCTACCCTTCCCTAACCGCTGCCAGCAAAAGTGGGTTTATGCGAATAGCCCGGACTGTGAAACAAAGCGGTCAAGGCAGAGACATCTGTTAGCTCCTGCCAGCCCTGTTACGGCCAGGGGTCTGGGCTGAAGGGTAGCTGGTCCGGTAAAATGTTAAATTACGTTTGGAAGTTTGGCCAGAGCTTGTCTGTCAAAGCTCCTGAGTCTGAGTCAAAGTCTGTGGGAGCTGGTGAAAGTTCACTTCAGGAGTTAACTTCATTTTTAGTAGAGGATGACAGCTAAATTTTTAATGGTTTCAGGGAACGGAACAGAGATGTTTGATGCCTTCATCTGCTACTGTCAGAAAGACCTTCAGTTCGTCCAGGAGATGATCAGGGAGCTGGAACAAACAGAGTTCAAACTGAAGCTCTGTGTATTTGATCGGGATGTCTTGCCAGGAACGTGTGTGTGGTCCATCAGCGGAGAACTTATAGAAAGGAGGTAAGTGAACCGAGGCTCTTTGGGGCAGCTGAGGGTAATGGAACATTACGTTCATTTTACCATGATGTCTGCAGTGCGGTGCCAGCGAAGCAGTAAAAATCCACAAGGATGTCTTTATGGGGTTTGTTTGATGCTCTTGGCTCCAGAGGGAAGTCTCGAGCATTCTCCAACATGTCGCTACACTGTGTTCATGAGGAAGGTGCCACTCTAGTGATGATGCTTACGTTTGATGCCTTTTCTCTCGGCTGCAATATCCTGCAGTCGCATCTTTGGAGGCGATCTGGAAACGAACACAGCTCCAGGCTGCTGGAAATGAACACAGCTCCGGGCTGCGTTAGCTCCACCCCACAGCGTGGAGGGCGAGGGGACAGCACTGCTGTTGGCTCTGGCACTGACTTCAAGGATCCTTCAGGCCTGTGTGGGACTCGGGCGTGGTGGGAGCTGTGGGGCATAAAAGCAACTCCCCAGATAGGGAGTGAAAATCCCCAAGGCAGGTGTTTGGGTTTGAAACATCAGCCTTTCAGAGGGAGGCAGCTTGGCCTTAACGGAGACCTCATAAGGCCTCGCTCTCCTGGCTGTTGTACAGTGTAGCCTTCCGTAAAGAGCCTAACGTGTAGCTTACAACCAGGCACCTCAAGTGACTGTAAGCAACAAATTGGAGAATAAAGCTCAAATTTATGAAACCAGGTGAATTCACGGTAATAAGAATACAACAAAGCTCTGTCCAGTTCGTTCTAATATGAAAAAGCACCGGTTATGCTCGGTCAATAAAGGCAGCACGTAAGCAGATAATTAAGGGGGCATTGTTTGTAATATACAGAGAGAGGCTCTAACAAAGATTGCACAGGCAATCTGGACTTTGCTATTTCTTCATTTCTAGTATATAAGTGTGTGTCTGTAATCAGGTTTTTGTGTGTAACGTACCTATCTGTCTGTCAGTAGTCCTGGCTCTGTGGTTAAT